TTTATGCAGGAGTATGGAGGAGGCCTTCACAACCAAATAAAGCTTCATTCAGTGAGATTGTTTGGCTCTCTGCATAACCACCACTACCAAACCTGCCCCTGAGCACTCCTTCATGCCAGCAGTTTCCCGTTGCCATGGGACCTTCTCACCCTCAAAAGCCTGGACCGGAGCACAGAGGTGCTGCAGGCTGGTCTGGGATGGTAAGAGCTGACTGGGAGCTGTGGTGTGCAGTTCTCCCCATCTCTGCGGAGCAGCACCTCCGCATCAGAGCAAAGGCAGCTAGGATGGAGTTAATCTGTCTCCTGTCCTTGGATGTCCTCTGCATGAAGCAGCCTCCCCAAGGAGGAGCTGTGTTGCCACTGAGAAGCCTGGGAGCTTTCTGATCCTCCTTAGGGTAAACTTCTTGCCCATGAACCCAAACAAGCAGAAGAATTTCACGCTGGCTGGGCTGTGCCCTGGCATGAAGGGCTCTTCAGGGAGCCAGATCTGACCTGAGCATCTCCTGCTTGGGGCAGAGAGAGGTGTTGGGTGAAATTCAAACTGGACTCTCCTCCCCAGTGCTAAGAAGGCAGTGCAGGTCGAGGTGCACAGAGCATCTCCTGGGGTTTCTTGCTGCCCTTCGAGTGATGAGCAAGGGGCACGGAGGGCTTTGCTGATGGGGGGTATTTAGAGGGATGGTCTGAAAGGTGGCACCTCTCCATGAAGCCCGGGCTCAGCAGGCCCTCAGGACACAGCCCTGTCTGCAGGGTGCAGCCGCAGTCGCTCTGTAGCGCACATACAAATGTGTGTTTCAGCTGCAAGCTGCGCAGTGCTGCTGCCGCCGGGCTGCAAGTGCATTCCTGAGCTCTTGCCCTCCTCAGGTCCCACGCTACACGGCATCACCTATTTATAACTGCATGCACTGCAGGAGTAATATTAGACTGATGGCCTCACACAGTCACGCTAAATGTTATTCTATTTATGTGATTTGCTCTTCTTCACAAGCTGTTGGGCTCCCGGATGCCAAAACATATGCATAGCATAGACAAAGACTCGGATTTTTCTCTTCTATTAAAACCTTTACCAACTGCACCCAGTCCCAAGTATATTTACCAGTGTTTCCCAGGTCACCTGGAGTAATTGCATCTACTATTCCTGCCCCAGTCTGATCGATATCCTTGGTCAATAAGATAACGTGTCAGGTCTGCTGTCCCTGTAGCCAAAGGTACTTTAGCAATGAAATTGTTTTGTGGAAGAAATACATGCCTCTCACTGAACCTGAGGATGCTGTGACCTCTCATTAGTGACCTGAGTGACTCATCCCTTTGTGTGTGCGCATTGCAGCCTCCCACCACACTGTAAAAGATGCACCACAAAGTCCTGCTGCCTGGTGCAACATGGAGCTGGGACCTACGGGAGCCTCTGCTCATGCTGCTTCTCCTCAGGGTTCACACGTGGTCTTCATGCCTCTGCTGGGGCTGGGGGCTCTCACGCTATGGAGATGCCCTGTTCGCACAGCGGGGACCCTGGGCACCATCTCTGTCCCATTTTCCATGGAAATCTCTGACACAAATGCAGAAGCCCATGTTTTCAGCACACCCAGGCTTGTTTAGCAAACAGGGGTTTACTGGCCACAGCACCCCACCTGAAGTGAGGTGGGCAGCTCACTCAGAGCCAGATTTCAGCCAGAGGCCATGTGTCACATTCTGCATTCACTGTGGAGGCAAGTCCTCTCACTCCACTCGTACCTCTGCAGCCAGCAGCTGAACTCATGGCATCCCTATGGTTCCTGTGGCATTCACTGCTCACTCCTGCTCCCCACCACTTGCACACAGGAGCATCTCGGTGCCTCGTTTTGCTGGGTGCCTCTGGAAACAGAGACCCTGGAAACACAAAGTGTTTAGTCCCCTTTTAGAAACGTGTGCAAAGTGAAATAAAGAATCAAACAGGGTTGAGCCCTACACATTTAGATGCTGTTGATAGCAATACATTCCTCTTGTAAAGCATTTTGCATGCCAAGAAAAACAGGTTTAGAGAAGGAAAGTGGTTGTACATCTGCATCTGTACATGTGCCTGTTAATTCTGCCTGAATGGCTTCCCTGGGCTGTCAGCTCTAAAGTTCTCTTTAACATAACAAATCTTGACTGTGCAACAAATCCTTAACCGAAAGGGGTTGATTTAATGAAGCAAGAAATGCTGCCAAATTTCCAAGCTTGATCCCAACCCCATTAATTTCAGCAGAATTCCCATCGTGTTCAGTTTGCTGGCTGGGTCCAATCTGGGTAGAGGAGTTAAAAATCTGCTTTCAGGCTGATTCTGCAGATAAGATCATTGCTCTGCTTCTCTGTGCCAGAGAGGCTAGGGGGAAAGCAGATGATGGTACAGGTGGGATTCATTTCACTTGATTTTAGGCATCTTCAAGTCCAGCAACAGAGAGACAAAGGAGGGAAAGCAGAACATTCAGCTCATCATAAGCCATAAGCTTGAAAGAGATAAAACCCATTTATTTCTTCCTACAGAACCATTTCACCCCATGAGGATGTGCAGCTCATGTAAAGGAATGGGGCAGTGCTGGGAGGTGTCTGCAGCAAAGGGGAAAGGGCCTTGTTCAAAGTCACCTGTGAGCAAGTGAGTGTTGACCCAGGTGCTGCTGCTGCCCACTCAGGTCTTCTCCCTGTGCTTGTGCCACCGAGGAACCAAGGATAATGCCTGCATCAGGATGCAACCGTGGCACAGCAACTCCGGTGGACACCGACCCCCTCCCTGTGTGCATGGCCCTGCCAATGGCTGGCAGAGATGCTGGGAGAAGGGGAAGGGGGAATATGGCATCTCCACACCTTCCTTGTCCCCTTACCCACTCCCAAACCTGTGTTATGTCCTCTTCTCCCAATGCCCGAGTTCTGACTGGCACAGAGCAAGAGCTGCCCATGCTGGTTGCTCCTGGGACAATCCCTCCCCTCTGGTCCCAGGGGATATAGAGCACCAGGGAGGTTTTGAGGTGCCCACGTTTGGGGCAGGTCCCCAGCGGTGACCACACACCCGCAGCATCCCACAGAGAGCAGTGGCTGCTCTTTGCAAGGGAAGGAGCCTCCTTTGTCACAAGGGCTGGAGGAAGGAGGGCTGCTTTGCTGCTCCATCACCAGCTGCAAAGCTGGCCATGCAGGCTCATGTGCCAGTGATTGGACCTTAATTACACATACAGATAATAAAGGGAAAGAGCTCAGCCCTTCAGTTCATGGGGAAAAACAGCATTGTTTGAGAATTGAGGGGTCTGCAAAGCAAGATATACAAAACCCCTCCAATATCTCAGCGGCATCAGCAGAACGTGCAGCTCCTTAATGGCTTTTGCTGATTTGACAGATGCAGGACACAGAAAACAGGGCAGATTTATGACTACAACTCTCTCTGAGGCTCAGAGATGGTTCTTAAGGATACAGATCCTTAAATCATCGTTAACAGTGACAGGAGGGGGCAGTGGAGAAGACACAGTTGAGCACAGCAATGCAGGGGTGAGAGCGAAAGTTTGCTGGTGCTTTCTACCTGCCGCTTCCTCCCTGGGGTGCAGTGATGCTTTACTTCAATCAATCATGCACAAGGTTGGGTGCAGTGACAGGGTGCTGCAGCTCCTATGGGATGTGGGCAGCCAAAGCCAGTTCTGTGGGGAACTGTCGCATCTTGGATGGGCTCCATGTGTGAAGGTGGAAAAGCTGGACAGCTTTCAGAGACACGGGTATTTCTCCAGGAAAGGAAGAGCTCAGAGCTCTGGAGAAGCCCAGATCTGGGGAGTGTGTGCAAGGAGCACATCTGAACCTGATGTCCCAGAGAGCCTCCCTACTGCAGAGACAGAAGAACATCTCATTTGGGAATTTCAGCTTTGTCTTTGGGTTTCTTCTGGATGAGGTTGGAGCTGAAAGCTTCCAAGGTTTTGCAGTGACCCTGAGCAGACTCTGAGGACCTACCTGCATGCACGCCTGGCCCAGCATTGCTCCCCATCTGCAGAGCCCTGGGAACCCCGTCCCTGCTCCCACCAGTGGGCTGGCTGTTCTCTGTGCTTTGCAAGAAGCCAGACAACTCACAACAGGAAGCCTTTAGGTGTTTATTTGCACTTTAGACATATTAACTGCATCTGAAAGCGAGCTGCGGCTCCCTCTGCGCAGCAGCGAGGGTGGGTGTGTGCAAAGAGCAGCTGACTGTGATAAATACCGGGTTTTGGTTCAAAGAGCGCAGTGTCTGTGGGTTGGCCCTTTCCCACAAGAGGCTGATTTAGACTCTCAATCTACTTCCTTCAGCCGAGCTGCAAGGGCTGCTGCTGCTGCAAATCTCATTGCTCCCTTCACAAGGACCAAAGCACCCAAGATGCTCATCAACATCAAGAGCAAAAACTAAACCGCTGCTCAGTAGCCTCTGCTCCCCTGAAGCAGAGATCCCATGGCAATAAATGGATTGCTCTCACCATTGAATCCTCCCTTCACAAGCCTTCAAACCCATGTTGCTTCTCTTTCGTTTGCATGTCTAACTTTGACATGTCTAACCCCGTTGCAAAGCTGGATGGAGTCAGATGCAAGCACCCACCTGAAGATTTCAAAGTCTCTTGGGATGTTGCCCATTGAAAGCAGCGGTTCAGGCTACTGCAGTCATTTGCCTTGCAAAATATATACCCCAACCCAACCAACAGCCTCCAGAAGCTTCAAAATGCCAATTTGCTGCTGTCTGCTGGGTGCTTTTCCAAAAGGGAGTGAGTAATGCTAAAGCTCTTTTTTTTCCTCCTGCAAAGGAGGTGGGCAGTAGAGGATCACACAGATCCCGAAGCAGCTCAGTCACCCAGTCACTAACTCAGGAACTGGCAGAGCTTAGTCATCTGTTTAAAACTTGATATTGTAATGACTATTTCCACCTCCAAAGCATTGCCCCCCCCCAACACCCTCCCAAATCATCTCTCGGCTGTTGTCCAACACAGGTAGATAGTTACTGGTACCTCTCCTTAGGTGAAGGAGGGAATCCTGTCTCAAACCCATGCCCATTCACCCCCATCTCACTCACTGAGAGCTCAGCAGGTGGCTGCAGAACCAGGGAGATGTTGACCAGCTCACACTGCTGCATTAGAGGCTGCTCTGAGAAATGTTTCAAGTCTGGAGTAAACACAGTGTTCATTTCTTGCCATCTCCGAGCACACTGTTAGGCTGAATGGTTGGGTTGAGTAGCTTTGCTCTAAAATAGAGCCTCAGTTTCCTCTGTGATGCCAGCAGTCCTGTCTATCCCTTGTGTGAGACTGGAGCCAGTGATGCTGCAGTTACCAGCTCTCTGCAAAGCAGGGATCAGGGTGAGGAGATGACTCCCAAGAAGGGGTCAAGTGCAAACAGAAGTGGTGCATCCTATGGAAAGGGTGTTGGGTACCTCAGAGCTCATCAGCAGCCTCCTCCTTACAAAGAATGGTGCTCATATGCTTCTCATCTTCCTGGCAAGAGGTTTTCCTTGTTTGGAAGAGGGTCCTCACGCGTGACATGCAGGCTTCACTGGTCATCACGTAGAGCAGGGGGTTGAGGGCACTGTTGAAGCTGGCCAGGCCCCGGGTCACCTGGTAAGAAAGGTAGATATTCTTTACAGCCTGCGTGCAGGACCCTTGCAGCTGCCAGCCTCGAGACAACAAGTTGAGGTTTCTGAAGATGTGGTAGGGGAGGAAGCAGATGGAGAAGAGGATCGTGACAAGAATCACCAAACTGATGCTTCTTCTCCTGAGGCTGGGGTTCACAGTGTCATTCCTGCAGAGCACCACCACCACGTGGCAGTAGCATCCGATGATGATAAGGAACGGGATGACGAACCCAGTCACGGTGATGGTCATGGTGTATGGCAAGTAAACACCCAGGTACTCGTGTTCCGTTGTGTCGTGGCACCGTGTCCCCGTGTCATCCATCTTGTTGAAGGCAAAATCTGGAGCTACCTGTGCGATGACCCACACCCAGACCATTGCACTGAGCCACACTGAAGGGGTTGTCCCATAGCACCAGCCCCGTGCCTTCAGCGGATGCACGATGCCCAGGTAGCGGTGGATGCTGATGCAGGTGAGGAAGCCGATGCTGGTGTAGAGGTTGAGGTGGAAAAGGCCACAGGTGATCCGGCACCAGCCCTGCCCGAAGAGCCACACTCTGCCCTGCAGGTAGTAGCTGACGAGGAAGGGCAGCGTGCTCACGTACAGCAGGTCAGCCAAGCCCAGGTTGCCCACCAACACGTCGAGGGGCTGTTGGGCGCCGCGCCGGGCCCTGGTGCAGAGGTGCCACAGCCCCAGCCCGTTCCCCACCAGCCCCAGGGCAATCACCACCAGGTAGGCGGTGGGCAGGAAGCGCTGGGTGAAGCCGGTATCCACGGAGCACAGGGTGCCATTGCCGGGCCACCGGGGGGGAGCCTCCATGGCCGTCGGGCGCTGCTGCGGGCTGGCCGCTCCCGGGTCGAGATGCCGGGGCCAAGCGGAGCCCGTTGCCCTGGGCGGAGCGGCCCCGGCGTGCCCGGTGCGGGATGGGGCTGTCCCGCTCCTTCCGGGCCCGCTCCGTGGCGCAGGGCTCAGCCCCGGCGCACGGGGACGATGCGGTGAGAGCCGCCCTAACCCAGAGCTCCTGCTGCGCCCTCGGGAGATGCTGGGAGCCAGGGAGCGCAGGGCTGCGGCTGCTCGGGCTGCAGCGCCCGGAGGCAGCGGGAGGAAGGGAGCGGGGAAGGGGCAGAGCGGCTGTGGCTCGCAGCGGGTGGGAGCTGTGTGCTGCGGGCAGCAGGGCTCTCAGTCAGCCTGCTTCTGGTCTGTCCCGCTCGGGGTGAGCAGAACCCCCCCCATTCCGCCAGACCAGGGCTGGAAGCCTGCACCCCTCCTTTTGAGACAGGGGAATCCTAAGATTTAAAGCCTGTTGCTGGGCGGGTAATTAGTTCGCATTATTAATGTAATTAGTGATAGTATACCTTAATCGCATTGTTAGTGCAACCTAAGGGTTAACAAAGCACGGGACTTAATGCTTGCGAAGCGTTAGGTACATCTTGAGATAGGATCAGCCAATCCGGGGGGAGACTGAGCAGAGCAAAAGAAGAGAACAGCTGGAAACCAGCTTTGTGGTCTGGGCACGATCCAGGAGCAACTGAGCCCGGGTGAGGCCAAAAGGTTACTTGCGGTGATGAAGAGGAGCCCTTGGCCTTCATCCCCACGACCCCCTACGACCACCACCAAAAAGTGCTGCGCAAGCACAGTGGGAGGAGCTTATGGAGATAGTAATTATCATAAGTGGGGACAGGTTATGAATATGCATAGGCGATCTCATGAATATGTAACCACAATGCTATATACGTTTGGAGGACGGGTGGCTACAGCGCGCACGACTTTGGTGTGATACCCCGTGCTGCCCAGTGCTGAATAAACATACCTACTTTACAACCCGTATTGGATGGTTGGTTGTAAAGCCCGTTCCCCACACATCAATTTCTCACTGGAGCTGTTGGAGGCACGCACGCAGCAGCATGGTTCACCTCTCCTGCCTGCCTTGTGTGTTTAAGCTGTTTGCTTGCCCCATATTTCACTCACAGTAGAGGTGATACCGCCCTCATCCATATCAGGATGCTCGCCTCGGGTACCAGCTCCTTGCATGCTGTAGTGTGAAAGAGAGCACAGGGCTGGGATGGCTCCTGCAGGTAACCTAAGCAATAGGCAACCAATTCAAGTCTCTTCACCAACAGCAGAACAAAGCGGAGTTTTTAGTGAGCACTGCACTGTGCTCAGGGAGGTATCTGAAAATGTTTAGCTTTATCCAGGGTCTCATCCAGCCCTTTCTCAACCAACTCCAGGCATTTAAAAATCATCAGTGAGGAGGAATGGCTTGGAAAAACCCATTCTGATGCACACTGTTCGCTCATGCAGCAGTGCATGGTTTCTCCTTCAGCTGCTGTGCCTTCTTGCACTGAAATGAGCTGTGATGTGTTGCTCACTGGTGGTTCAGGGATATGGCTGTCAAATTACATGCCGTTTATGTGTGCAGATTTGGCAGCTTGCCTCGAGGACAGGGGTGAGTTCTCTTCTGGTTTGGGGTTTTTTTCTCTTTAAGGTGACCATGATCATCTGGGGACGGCAGGGTATTTATCTGCTGCCCCACAAGAGCAGGCAAAGGCCAGGTTCCGCTGCGTCAGAGGCTGCAATAACTACGTGTTTCCAGGGTAGCAGAGCTTTAGAGAGAACAGCAAATATTGTGAGACTGGCAATCAAATTGCAAGAGCTGATTTTCCTGCATTCTTAGGGAAAAAAAAGAACTCTGATTTATTTGGATTCATTAATTCATTATTTAGATGTTTTCTGCTTAGTGAATCAGGGAGAAATGACATTTTGGATAAAAGGAAAAAAAGGAAATTACAGCAGAGGTGTGTTGAGTCATTTCAGTTTGAGATGAGAATTACAGGTTGCTGCTTCAAAAACAACCTTTTGGTTTTTACCGTCACCCAGAGGTGGCTGGGCAGGGTTTAGACAGGAGCTGGCTTAAACCCACGTTTTTCAGTGCACAGAATGCATCTTACTCATGTCAGCCCAGGAACACTGTGGTGTTAAAGTCTACCCGCACCTTGTGTCACCGCGCTTTTGGCACAGCCTTTGCAGAGGTGAGAAGTTAACAGAAGCTGCAGACCAGGCCACTTTCACCCTGTGATTTGTTGCCTGCCAAATACATATCTCCTGTATTAAACTGAATTAATCATGTGTGTTCGGGCAGAGCATCAGATATCTCAGTAGATAATTCTCTTTGTAAGCAAGCTCATGTGTTTTACTGCATGAGCAGTGGGATATTTTTTCTTCCCCCACCCCATTCCCAAGAGGTGACTGAAAAGCATCCTTGACTTTCATTTCATTTTCAGCACTTGCAGGGGCTGGGGGAGCACGTGAGTGGTTGCCTTGGCCTTGATGCCTTTCCTGCTGCTTATGGGGAGGCTTTCCCTTGGCAGAAGAGGGGAGCTCCCACTGCCATTCAGCCTTTTGCCCCTGCACCCCCAAATCTGCCCTGGGCTGGTGTTGGCTTGGGTCAGGATGGTGATGGTGGCGGCATGATCCCAGGGAAATCCTGGTCCAGGGTGAGTGCAGGAGGTGTGGGGCTGGTGGGAGGACGGATGAGTCATAGGGAATTTGGGCTTTGGGTCTGGGGAGGCTGAGAAGACACATGGCCTGGTCTGTGTGTAATACAAACAGTGCCATGCCATGCCATGCTCTCCTGTGCATCCCAGCACCGATGTGCTATGGGTTGGTCCTGTTGGCAGAGCTGGGTTAGAGCAAAGGGGCAGAATTTACTCCAAGATAAAATAGCCTATCTATGTTTTCAGTGTTTTGATTCACTTTTTTGTGTGTGTGTTTTCTTACTTTAAGCAGCCTGAATTGAGGTGCCTCTGAGCTGTGCCCCATCCTGGCTCAGACCTGTCCTGCAGCAGCTGAGCTGGCCATGAGCACTGGTGCTCCTGAAGGCTCACTGGAGCTGGTCTCACCCCCACGGACAGCCCCACACAAGATCCACATCTAGATGAGCACATCTTTATTTTCAGTTCCACGCGTATGAACTGTCCGTATCTCACCTGGACACGTCACCTAAACCGTGGGTCCTTTCCAGTTGTCCTTCTTGCCCTGCCATGGGGACAAACGTTCCCTCCACGTGCTTGTGCGAGGCCGTTAGAGGGCATTTGGGTTTCATTTTTCAGTCACCAGAGGGATTATCACTGTGAGAAAGTGAAGGCAGAGCTGCCAGGCATCGCTCCTGCGCTGACTCTTCCATAGATGGAGCAGCTCCAGCCTGTAGGAGATGGCCCCAACTCATCTTTGTGAGTTGCTTTCTCTGTTTCCTGCTTTTCCCTTGGCTGTGGCTGGCGGGGATGTGCTTGGATGGCAGGAGCTACGTCTGCTGCTGCGGAGCGGTGTCTCCTGTGTCTGAGCTCCTCACTCACCAAAGCCCTGCCAAACCAACAGTGCTTTGGGGAGGAGGAGGCCGGGTGGAGCAGGAAGGTCCGTGTTGATTCTGGAGAGATGTGGTGAGTTAGAATGGAGGTGAATTAGAGCTGCCAGCAGGAGGGTGGTTCTGCCCTGCTCAAGAAGGCTGCTGCTGGGTGCAGGGTGGATGTTGTGGGATGGTTTAGTTCACGCATGGTTGAGATGCTCAGCCTGGCATGGTGGTGAGTTGTGATGTGCGGCTCCATGGACCTGCTCCATCCTTGGGGATAGGTCCCACGAGGGTTCCCCCGGGGATTTGGGCCTCCATGTACTGAAGATGGTTTCTCTTGCATCCCCTGCAGAGCATAGCTCTGTGTGTGTGACATGGTGGAACAGCAGCATCACCTCTCCAAAAGCACCACCAATCTGGGAAAGGACCAGTTCCTGGTTCCTCGGGTGGGTTCACACTCAGGGCAAGGTTTCTCCATTTTCCATTTCATTCAGCCAAAGAAACTCATGGATGCTGCCCAATAACCCTGCCTGGGGCAGCAGGGTGTGCAGAGCGGGTAGGTGCTGGGTGACTTGGGGATCTTGTTCTCTATTTCCACCCTCCTTTGCAGCCAAAATCCATCAGTTCATTCCCAGTTTCCCAAGGGACATATCCTCCATCTTCACCAAAACCACAGTGCCATGGGCTTGTGCCAGACTCTTTGCCGGGATGAGATGTTGGCTCTGGGATGCAACTAGGGTGGGAACAGCTACAAATAACCTCTGTTTCCTCGCTGCAAAGGCAGAGCAGAGAGAGATGGGGAGATGGAGCGGCATGGTGGTGTGTCCCCGTGTCTAGGGAGCAGGGGCATGTGGTAGTGCAGGTGCCTGGCTACAGAAAGCACTGGCTGCATGGAAGCAAGGCAGGTTTGCACCTTGTCTGCACTGGGGCTGTGCCTGGCAGAGCCACCTCTCAGGTGTACCCAGGGAGCCAGGCAGGGGCTACAAATGCACATCTGGCCATAGGGGCAGATTGAGCTCACTGGTGTGACTCAGGGTTCTGTGGGATCCACAGTGCTTTTGGATTCAGACCTCCAGAGACCTCACAATTCAGGTCTGCCCCTGCCAACAGTTGTTTTCCAAGCCAAGGTTCAGGAGGCGGTTTATCTGTCCCTCATGGTTGAGGAGGGGTGATGAGGTGCCCGCAGGTAGCCCCGTGTTGCCTGCCATTTCCCTTTCTCAGGGCACCAGCTTCGCCAAGGCCCTCACTTACCACTGGGGATGCTGCCGGCAGAGCCGGGCAGGGTCTGGCCATGCAGAGCCGCCTCTGAGTCTCCAGCCTGCAGTAGCGGTTCTGGTTGGAGACGCGGGTAGAAAAGCCCACGCCGCAGGTGGCGGAGCAGGCGCTCCACTCCGTGCCCCACTCCTGGCACGGGTATGGCAGCAGCGGGGACACTGCCCAGGGGGCTGCATGGAAAGAGAGGAGGGAGAAAAGGGTGGTTGGGGGCAGCCGCTGTGCAGCATGGCAGGAAAACGTGAGGAGAGGTGTCTCCTGTCGATGTTCACAGCCTGTGGTGAAGGGACCAACCCCAGAAACCTGTGTGTTCATCCCCTCGCTGGCACATCCTGCATCTCACCTGCCCCAGCAGCCTGGAGGGGATGGTGCTGCTCCCGGGCTT